AGGAAGGAAGGAAGGAAGGAAGGAAGGAAGGAAGGAAGGAAGGAAGGGAAGGAAGAGTGTATAACTTAAATTAACCCGTTTATACTAACCTGCCTTCTGCCTCATTACCTTCTGCTCAGTACCTCTCCTCAGCACCAGCATTACTTTCTTTCTCTGCATCTGGTGGACAAGTCCTGTCCCCCCTCTCCTACCGCACACCTCATTCTTTCCCAGCACTCCTATTTCTCCCTGAAATTCCCTCCTATCTTCTTCTGCTTTGCTGTAGCCCGGTCAGGTCTTTATTAAACCAATCAGAAGGTGATGGAGAAGATGTTTACAAAGCATGGAGATAGGTGGTGCTTCATAGAAATAACAATACCAGAGTTTGGTATTGCCTGGACACTGCTCTTCGCTGTTACAGAAAGCGGCATTTGAATGACACAGAGACAACCTTTACACAGAGCACAGAAGGCTCACCCCAATACGTGGGTGCTCAGACTGCTGTCCACAGGGAGATTTGGAGCTGAGGGTGTGGCTCTGGCTGGAAAGATGCTGTGCTGGCAACACCATGAGATCACGTCAAGAGGAAAAGGGAGAATGGACCAGAAGGTCCTCAGAGCCCTGAGCGCCACAGTGGCAGGGTCTGGCCCCTGGGCTGGAGAATAATGTCCTGGAGGGGATGTCAGGAGAGGCAAGCTTTGTCCAGGCTCTGGCAGATGTCCATCAAGGTCCCCTCCCCAGCATCTGGGATGCTGGGAACTGAACCCAGATCCTCTGAAAAAGGAGCCAGTGCTCTCAACTGCGGAGCCATCTCTCCAGTGCTAAGATTGTGCGTGTGCGTGTGTGTGCGTGTGTGTGTGTGTGTGTGTGTGTGTGTGTGTGTGTGCACGCGCGCGCGCGCGCGCCAGAAGAGGGCTCTGGATTCTCTGAAGCTGTAGTTACAGACACCTAGCAGTTGTGAACTGCCTGCGTGGGCCCTGGGATCCAAACCCTGGTCCTCTGCGAGAGCAGAAAATGCCCTTCACTGCTGGGGCATCTCTCCAGCCCCCAAATCAGTTCTTAAACACTAGCATAAAGGTGTCCCACTGCAGTGTCCTTGCATCCATTTTGTTATTTCCCCACCCTCTGCTCCTTCCTCCTCCTACCTCCTCCTGTGCTCACTCCCTAATCTTCCCCTTACGGTTCTTTCTAGTTTCATGACCTGTGTTCCCCTACGAAAATACATACGCATACATTTAAAGTCAGGGTCCCATGAACGAGGGAGAACACGGCTGTGCTTGTCTTTCCGAGCCTTTTCTTATTTTTTCTTAATGCCGTAACTTCCACCCATTTTCATGCAAATGTCATGACGTCACTCTTCTGCATAAAATTCCACTGTGCGTATGTAACGCACTTTTCTTTGCCATTCATCTGTTGATGGACACCTGGAGGCTCTTCTCTCTGTGACGCAGACGGCGCGGCAGTGAACGCGGGCACGCAGGTGCCTCGGTGGAGTGCCGAGTTAGAGCCCTGGCCTGTGGCCAGGGCGGCACATCTGGGCCGTACGGTAGTTCTATTTTCAATGTTTGAGGAACTTTTTTTTTTTGACAGGTTTTCTCTGTGTACCCCTGGCTGTCCCAGAACTCACTCTGTAGACCAGGCTGGCCTCGAACTCACAGAGATCCGCCAGCCTCCAGGATTAAAGGAGTGTGCCACCCCGCCCTGCTGGTTTGAGGAAAGTCTATCCTGACCTGCTGAGCCATCTTGCTGGCTCCAAGCATCCCCCCACCTCCATCCTCCCCACCCCCACTTTTTTTTTTGGATGCTGGAGGAGGTGGGGCCAGACAGAGGCGCCTGTTTAATCCCAGAGTCTCTCCCACTATCTTCCTCCCTCCTTTCTCTGCCTTCATTTATTTCACTGGCTCTTTTACCCACTGGCTGTGTGACCCAGAGAAAATCAGGAAACCTCTCTGAAAAGATGTCCTCATCTGGAAAACCGGGGCCTTAGCTCATCACAGCTGAAATGGGCCAGATAAAACACGCAGCACATCCTGGGTGTGGTGGCGCCGGCCTTTAAGCCCAGCACTCAGGGGGCAGAGGCAGGGGCTTCTCTGTGAGACCAGCCTGACCTAGAACCTGCTTGAACACACACACACACACACACACACACACACACACACACACACACACGTGGCCCCACTGGAAGTTACTGCTGTGACCATGGTCCCCCTGGCTTCGGCAAATGCCAAGTATCTTTCCTCCCCAGCCATGCGGGCCAGCGCACACTGCCCTCCAGTGGAGGCACCCCAAATTCTCTTGCCGCCCCTTCAAGCAAATGAAAAGCCTTTGCTAGTGGACACGGGCATTGTTTAATTTCAAAGTGAGTTGGTGTTCGTTTTTCACCTCCCCACTTCCAAAGCTTCCTGGGTGACTAACTCATAGCTCAGGCAGAGTCACTAGGGTGCCGACAGTCTTGGTCACTGGGATGTCTCACAGGGCCTCAAGTATCCCAGGCTAGACCGTAACCTACTATGCAGCCGAGGGAAACCTTGAACTTTTGGTCCTCCTTCCTCTACCTGCCCAGTTGCTGGGCCCATAGGCGAGCTTCACCATGCCCAGTTTAGGTTCACTGAGGGCTGAACCCAGGGCTCCGTACGTCCTAGGTGAACACTCTACCCATTACATTATCACACTGCTCACGCTTCCCGGCTTTAGTGATGAAGATGTCATGGCCCGGGACCCTCCCCCCCAACCCCCAGCCAGCCGGGACACTTGGCTGCGTCTTCCTGAAGGAAGAGACCCGTGTCTGCTGGATGCATAGTGAGGACAAACCATCCGGACACAGAGGACAGGGGGCCCGGCATGGCCCAGCTTGGGGCGAGGTGACAGAGCAGCAGGGTCAGCCTGGGAAGGCTGTCATGGGCAAGGTGCTTGAGGAACAGCCAGCTGTCAGTCAGACACGCCCTCCTCGTCAGGTCCCTCGGGGGTCCAGCCGCTGGCCGCCCGCTTGAGAGCCCTCACCCAGCGGGCCTGCAGCTCCTCGGACTCGGCTTTGAAGGTGAGCTGCTGGCTGGACTGCTGCAGCTGGAAAGCCCGAGGGTCCCCCTGGGGGCCCCGAGTCACCTGATAGCCCAGCAGGGGGATGGAGGTGTGAGCCTTCGTGTCCTGGTGGAGGAGAAGGCCGTCACTGGCTACTGTCCCCCACTTCAGCCACAAATCCCTGCTTGCACCACAAGCATGCTCCCCCACGCCACAGAGGGGCGTTGTGGGAAGATGGAGGGGGAAGAGGAGGAAAGAGTGGGCCTTCCTGGGAGGCTGAGAACTGCGGCCAGAGCCCAGCTCTGAAACTCGCTGACCTATGACTTGAGAAAGCCATGTCCCCAGAGGGCCTCAGTTTCCCCCACCCTCCAAGAATGGGGAGGCCTGGCTGGGGTGGCGTGGCATACCTGGGGGGCGGCATAGACGTACAGCACCAGAGGCTCATCCCGAGGGATCACGCACCAGCCCCGGGGGCCGCTCTTGCCCCACTTGTCCCCCGTGAGCTGCAGGAAGCTGCACATCACGCTCTGATCAGGCGTCGCCGAGGCCTCTTTCTGGAAGCAGAAGGAACAGTCGGGTGACAGGGTGCCAGACGCCAGCCAGGGGACCTCACCATCACTGCCGTTCTTCCTTTCTGAGACGGAGGCTCCCGTAGCCTAGGCTGGCCTAGAACTCGCCACGTAGCAGGGGGTGGCCTTGAACTCCTGCACCCTCAGATTCTGGGTTTAGGGTCATATGTCACTATCCTTAGTCCTTGCATGGAACCAACAGGTTGGTGGTCTGTGCGGGTCTGAGGTACCCCGCCGTGTGGTCCTGGTTCATGATGCTCAACGGCAGGCAGAGCTGCAGGAGCCAGGCCCGGCATCCTGAGCCACTCGGCAGGCATGAGGGGTGTGTGTGTGTGTGTGTGTGTGTGGAGGGGGGTCAGGGAGGAGAGGAGCTGAAGTATGGGAGGAGGAGGAGCCAACCTGCTCATGGGAGTGAGCCTCAGCGGAAGCAGGCCAGCTTTTCTCTCTCCCTCTTTTTTTCCAAGGGACTATGGGACGTCACTTTAGCCTTCGTGGGGGAGACAGTGTAGCTAGCGTCTGGGTTTTGACATAGCCCTTGAGATTCAAGAGATGAACATGGCCGGTTTACCCACAGAGGGTGCTCGTGGGATGGGGGCGTGGTCCTGGGAGGCCTCCAAGGTGGTCTGCAGATGGCAGAGGAGACCCGGGAGAGCTGGGTGACCTCGAGCTTCTCCGAGGCCCCTAGCGGTGAGCACAGGGCCTGTGGTCTGCCTGACTGAGGAAGCTTGGGTACCTCACCTGTCACAAACCACCAGCAGCACAGTCCTCCCTTGGCTTTGCAGCTGTGGGGTGGGCCCTAGGAGCCTGACCTGGAGCAGAGTGGGAGAGACTGGAGGCTAGCCCACAGTCCACAGCTACTCTGGCTCTGGGTACGGTTGGACTGTCTGTGGTCGGCAAGATGAGGGAAGGAGAGACGTGGTGGCCTGTTTCTCGGAACCCAGGACGGAGTTTAAGTGAGATGCTGCCAGCCCTCACCTCCAGGATGCCCCGCCTCTTGTCCTCCTTGCCCTCGGGGAGCATACTTCCGGTAAGGAAGGTGTAGCAGGCCAGGCAGACTCGATTGGGCCTGTTGCCGTCGTATTTCAGCTCAGCGCGGTAGTCAGAGCACTTGGCGCACACCACCTGGGAACCAGGACGGGGGCAGCAGGGGGTCAGAAAGCCTGGTTGGCCACAGGAGCTCAGGCAGAAGGCTGAGGGCCCAGCCCCACCGCACAGCCCTGCCCACCTTCCCTCCACGAGCCCCCGTCACTGTGGGGCTGGGTCCTGGAGGGCTAGGCAGGGCAAGGCGGAGCTGCCAGAACCTCGCTGGGCCCAGCGAGGGCAGGGTGACTCAGAAGAGGAGAAAGTGGCACAGCCTGGCCACTCCCAAACGGTGCCCGCAACCGGGCAGAGGCTGCGGCTCCGTTGGGGGAGCGCTGCCCTGGGCCCCTGGTAAAGCAGGCGCTGTGGCGCACGGCCCTGGCCGTGATCCCGGTATGCGCCTGCCGGAGGCTGGAAGATGAGAAGTTCAAGGCCGTCCAAGGCCGAGTTGTAGATACGAGAAGAACAAAGTTCCCTTGCGCTTTCTGTCTCTTTTGTGGTGGCAGCCACGATTGAGTTAGAGGATTACAGAGTGGGGGAATGTTTAAGGCCAGCCTGGACTGCCTGAGGCCCTGTCTCAAAATAATAATAATAACAATAATAATAATAATAGAACAGCAAGTCTGCCACCTGCTATAGAATGGAGGCACAGGAACTCTGGGAGACCAGCCAACCCGGCCCCCCCTTCAGAGGTGCGTAAGGATATCGAGTGATACTCGGTGAAGATGAGGGAGGTGTGACAGAGAAACTCTGGGTGTCGTGAGTATGACTGAGGAAGACTGGGGCGCCCTGGGCGTGCTGGGTGTGGCCATCTCGGGGAGTCGCTGTGTACCCCGCCTTCACGGGGTGCCCGAGGCAGAAGCCGGAGACAGAAACTGGCAGCTGAGCACGAAACGAAACAGTGAGTCACTGACTCCCAAAAGAGGGCACGCACGGGCCCAGACATCCTGGAGTCAGGGCAAGGACACCCAGGGCCTGGCGTGTTGCGCTTTCTCCGGGAAACGTAAACATTTCCTTTGCTTCCCCACTTAGGTGCATATAGGTTTCTGTGTGAGTGGCCACGTGCATGGGGGAGGGGGGCTGTGGGGGGCCAGAAGAGGGCGTTGGCCCCCCTGGAGCTGAAATCCTCTGCCTTGCAGGTGCTCTGAAGCACTGAACCATCCCTCTGTCCTTGCAGAGAGATCTGCTTCATGTAATTATTAAATACTTATTTGCTCTTCATCAATTTTATTTGCTTTCCTGAGGCAAGGGGTTACGTAGCCATGTTGACCCGGAGCTCACTATGTAGCCTGGGCTGACCCAGAGCTCACTATGTAGCCCAGGCTGACCCAGAGCTCACTTGTGGCCCAGGCTGACCTCCTCCTTCCTCCTATCATGTGCTGAGATTACACACGTGCATTTGGTTTTGTGGGGTTTTTGTTTTTGACATTTAGAGTTTGAGAGCACACACACGAGTGCCTGTGTGACACGCATGTATCATGCCGTAGGTGTGAAGGTTGGGATAGCTTGGCAGGAGTTGGTTCCTTCCTCCCGATGTATGGGCTCCGGGGACTGAGCTCAGGATTCCAGGCTTGGTGGCAAATGCCATCACCCTGAGCCGTCTAGCTGCCATACGGTTGTTTTAGAAAGACTTTCAAGACGGGGTCTTAGCCGGGCGAGGTGGAGCACGCCTGTAATCCCAGCACTCAGGGAGGCAGAGGCAGGCGGGTCTCTGTGAGTTCGAGGCCAGCCTGGTCTATAAAGTGAGTCCAGGACAGCCAAGGCTACACAGAGAAACCCTGTTTCTGAGGGGAGAGAGAGAGAGAGAGAGAGAGAGACTGGATCTTGCTATGTAGCTCAGGCTGGCAATGAACTTATGACCCTCCTGCTCCACCTCCCAAGGGCCCAAGTGCTAATATCACACTTTAGGACTCAGGAGGGGAAACTGAGGCCTGCCCAAGAATGTGGACTTTGCAACACATAAGTGGAGGGGACGGAAAGAAAGAACGGGGTTGGGTACAGAGCAGGGAGCGAGATTGGCCAGGTGGAAGGCGGGTGGGTGCCCAGCTGCAAATAGAGACCCTCTCAGCTCTGGGCTGGCGGACGGGAGGGTCACCAGCCACCCAGGTCACCCCCCGTCCCCGAAGCAGGGAAGCCTCACACCACATTGTAGGTGGGCACTGACCGCAGGGGCAGCGTGGACACACCGAGTGTGTCAGCCGAGGCCAGAGAGTCGGCCAGGACTGGGATCCAGCGTGAGCCGGACCCTGGAGGCGGTACGCGGTCCTGGGTCCTGTCCCCAGTCCCCGCAGCGGTACTCACATAGCCACAAGCCCGGCAGTGGTGGCGCCGACGCGTCAGGGCGTTGAAGGGCCCCTGGCAGCGCATACACATAGTCACCATCTTGTCACGGACCCACTGAGGCGCTCGGAGGCCCAGCTCCTCCGCCTGTGGCTGAGGGAGGAGAGCAGCTGGCTGGGCGGGCACTTCAAGGAGCCCCACAGCCCCCGGAGGCCCTGCAGCCTCTGCACGAGGAAGCTTACGGACTGATGCTTGTACCGTGTAGGTGAGGAAAGAGGTCCAGAGAGAACGACTCGGAAGCGTCAGCCAGGAAGCCAGCGTTCAGGGCTGAGGTCCGACAGCCTCACCCACCTTCTGCTCTCCCTGCTTCTCTGCTACGTTCAGATCTGGTTGGTAGACCTCAGGCCATGCAAGGGTCACCCTGGCCTTACACAGCTCCGCTCAGGGTTCCAGGGGCAGAAATGTGTGCTTTGTTTGTTTGCTTTTGAAACAAGCTAAGGCTGTGTGGCTAAAGCTGGCCTGGAACTCACTATGTGGACCAGGCTGGCTTCAGAATCACAGAGCTGGGATAAAAGGCCTGATGTCAGGCCTAGCTAAAGGCAGATGTTTTTATCTTTACTTCTGAAGGTTCTTTTGGAGTTAGGGTCTCATGTGGCCCCGGTTGGCTTAGAACTCACTATGTGTCAGAGGACAGCCTTGAACTTCTGGTCCTCTTTCCTCCACCTCCTGACTGCTGGGTCATAGCACACCCGGCTCCCAGATGGAACTGCTAACTAGCAAACCCTGGCCCTGGGTCACACGAGGGACTCTGCTCCTGAAGCCGGGCCTTGGGGTGCAGAAGGTCCTATTACCTTGGGCTCTTGCGTGTCCCCCTGAGGTCCCTGGACAGCAGCCTTGAAGGTTTCACTCCGCTTCTCCACTTGGTCAATGGCTGCCTGGCAGGCCTGAGGGGAGGTGCGGGTGTGGCAGGTGAGGGGGTCAGGGCACCTTGCCTATATCCAACACGTTTTCCTAAGCGAGGCCGGGAGTGGGCCCCAGACTAACTACCGGAGCAAGAAGCTGTAAGCTCCAGGTCAGACACGCCCAAACCAAGTCTCAGAGAGGGTTAGGGTTTGCTTCAGACAACCCCCCTGAAGCAGCGAGGCACAGCAGGATTTGAACTCAGGGCGACTCCAAACTCGACGGGAAGAGGGAGCAGCTGGGCACACCCAAATGTCAGAGCACAAAATCATCCTCTTTCTCTCCCTTTCCTCCCAAGCAGGCTAGGCTCATATCCCCCTGGAGGCCTGGAGCGCCCATACCTGTATCCAGGAAACCATTTCTTCTCTGGACCTGTGGGAAGGAAAGAGAACAAGGTGGGATGCTGAGGGCGGTACCGCCCACCCGCCCGCTGGTCCCCTGCAGCTCCAGCCCATCAGTCAGCACCTACCGAGCCTGCAGCTCCAACGTGCGCTGTTTTCCAGACACCAAGAAGGAGTGTGGGAACTCGGCGTCAATCAGCTCCCGAACCTGCCAGCGAAGAGAGGAGGGTCAGACTCACACCCCAGCACGGCAGACAGGAACGGTCCTCCTCCCCCCCCACACACACACAACCCCGCCAGGCAGGGACACAGATGGGACTGGAGGCTTCGGAATTACGTCAGCAGGGCCGAAGTGGAGGGACAGTGGCAGAGGGTCACCAGAGATAGAAACTGGACCTCAGGGTAAGATGAGCCTGTGAAAGCTTACTGGGTTCTTTCCATGCTTAAATATTTCCATAGTAAGAAGCCACCGTCATTCTCACAGGATTCCTGGCAAGTGGGTCTCATCTTTACTTACACAGCGCTGGATCTGAAAGCTCAGAACAGGCTGGACACCTGCCTGAGGTCACACAGCACTCGAGGGGCAAAACGACAACGACACACCTAACATTGGGTTTCTGCCATCAAGAGTGATGGTGGATGAATATTGTCCTGTCGTTCGGGAAGGGCTAGGCTACCTCCTTAACCTCGGGCAACCCCTCCTCCTTCTCAGGCTGCCAAATGTAAGGAGCAGCTGAGAGCACAGACACAATCACCTTGTGAGGATTACGTGGCCCTGGCACCAGGTCATAGGCCTGTCAGAGGAGGGGTCAGATGCAGGCCCAAAGCTTGAAGCCAGGGCAGGGAGGACTGGAGAGCTTTGAGGAAAGGGGGACCCCAGGGAGCTCCCAGCCCAGACTCCAAGAAGCCCAGGGGCTCTCATTAGAGCCCCTAGGTTTTGGATCTCTGCTGGGCCATCTCAACCATCCTCTCTAGGTCTGGCTCTTCTATTCTACACAGTTCTTTGCCCTCATCACCAAAGCACTCTCCTGCCTCAGAAGGCTTTCCTGACATCTGTTGGCCAACTGGCACAGCTCCCGATTTTGTTAGAACAAGACATTTGACTGCCACCTGCTGGCCAGCCCTCACTATAAGTACGCAATCTATGATCATCACGGGTGGCTGCAGATAGCTCCTCTGCCGTGGGGTGTTCTTGGGCCGTGCGCCACCTGAATGGCGAGCCTCCGTAACCTCAGTGACCCCTCCTCCTTCTCAGGCTGCCAAACATAAGGACCAGCTGAGAGCATAGACACAATCACCTTGCGAGAATTACGTGGTCCTGGCACCAGGTTCCAGGCCTGTAGAACCACCAAGGCGGTTTAAGCCTGTCTGTCCTTCCAACCTGGCTCGGAAAATGGTTTCCACTCGGTGTGGACAGCGCTCCACCCTCCATGCCCAGCAACATCCGGCAGAGGGCGCAATGAGGCTACTAGCTAGTGAGACGGGCTTGCCAGATGGTGGCAGCAAGGACCAGGCACAGGAGAAATACAAGGCCGCCTTAGTCTCCTTTCTCCTCCCCGCTCCCCAACCCCAGGCAGGGTCTCACGTGGTCTCCGCTGACATTAACCTGACCCTCCTGCCACCACCTGCTAAGTGCTGGGATTACAGGCGTGTGCCGCCACATCCGGGTTATTGGGTGCTGCGGGATCTAATCCAGGGCTCTGTGAATGTTAGGTAAACCTCCTACCGAATGAGCTACACCCACAGCCCTCAGAAAAGAAAGACTCCTAATCCAAGGATGGTTAATATCCTACATCAGAGGGCTGTGGAGGGGTCTGATGGGAGGCTTCGAGGGCTGGCCCCACGCATCTGAGCAGGGGTGGGGCCAGGGGCGGGGCCAGCCTTACTGTCCGATCCTGCTCAGGGCATGTGGGCAGGAGTATCAGCGTCCCTTGGGGTTGCCGAGAAATGCAGGGCCCCAGGGACAGGGGTAATGCACCACAGAGTGCTTGCCAACCATCCAAGGTAGCGGATCCATCCCCAGCAAGACACAGTAGAGGGACCCTTCCCAGAAGAGCACCCGCCCTCCGTCCCCAGGCTGCTAGGCCCACCTGGACCTGAGGGCTTAGACCATTGGCCACGCATTGCCATCCCCACAGCGGTGGTGCAGACAGCAAGCGCCCTGCCCCCAGAGCAAGCCCTCGGCCCCTGCTGTCACCCACCCTGGGCCCCTCTGGAGGTGTCTCACCTTCATGCCGGCCACATCGATGCGGGTCCGCACCTGGAACTGGGCGCCCACTTGGAGGACGCGGGGCACACAGTACAGCAGCATGTTGTTGAACTGGGAGGAGGCGGGGGGGGGGGGGCAGCAGCTCAGAGTCCCCCGTGTGACCTGGCCTTGACCCCTCCCCTCCCCTCCCCTCCCCTCCGGTCACATTCCTCACAGGTGACCTGGGAAGGGGCTGAACGTGGCTGTCTAGGCCCTAACGGCACTGCCGGAAGCACTTAGGGGACCAAAGCATCCCGAGGCGCCTGCGAGTCTACAGGAGGCACAGACCTCCAGTCCGCCGGGCAGAGCTTCCCGGCAGCTAACTCAGCTTCCACCTGTTGGGCTGTTTTGGCGTTCACGGGGGCAGCACAGGCTTTAAAGCCAACCAGAGCTCCAACACCGATTTCTGCTTCTCAGGGCGCCCCTGGCTGCAAAGCCAGCTGCCCAGCCGCCCCTACCAAAAACAGATAGCGCTCCATCGGGTCACTGCGGCGGAAAGAGATCTTGAGGACAGGGCCCTCTCGGAGCAGGGTGTTGGAGGGGTCCACGATGTCGTCCTCCAGGCCCAGGCGCTGGTATACCTCCCACAGGCCCTGTAGCCGCTCCTGGAGATGGGATACACCTTCAGCCTAGGCTGGGCAGGGCCTGGCAGGGGTGAGATGAGGAAGCCGAAGGCGCGGAGGCAACGAGGGACCGGTACCCTGGGCAGGATGGGTGGATACAAGGACCGAGGACAGGGTGTGTCCCGGGACGCCCCCCGCCCCCCATGCCCAGGCCGGGCTGCTCACCATCTCTGCAATGGCTGCGTTGGAGTGCTGTGCGGCTGAGAAGATCATGTCCAGCGCTTCTGGCAAGGGAGCAGGGCGCCCAGTCATTCCCGGGGACCTGCGGCCTCGGGCTGGAGCTCCGCTATATATGGCCTGGGGAAACCTGCCTTACACCCCTGCCGCCGCCGCCGCCGGGCACAGCCCTGCCCGTGTCCCAGCCCTGACCGAGCCTAGTGGGTGTCCAGGAGTGGGAGCCACTCAGGATGGGGCCGCTGGGGCCACTGGGAAGCCATGTGATTAGGTGCACGACTTGGGCGGTTTTCTCTAAGCTCAAATCCCAGCTCTGTGCCTAACCTCCCTGGGCCTCACTATCCTGTCTGTCTGTCTGTCCACCTGCCTTACTATAACTGTGGCTGTGGTGTGGATAACCACACGTTGTGAAGTGCCAACGATTGATGCGCTGTTAGAAGGTCACCAGAACCATTTTAGTTGAGTCCTCAGTACCCAGGGCAAGCAGCCGGCCCTCCCCGGCTCCCCGGGGCCCAGGGGGTCCTCACTCTGGGCATCCTCCAGGTCCGGGGCCTGGGCCGGCAGCTTCTGCACATATTCCTTGAGCAGCAGTTCGTACCGCGGGATTCTCTGCACAGGCTCCAGCATGTGGTGCTGCAGGGTCAGGCTGCCTGAGGCCTCGCTGCGCTTGGGGGCAGGGAGCAGGGGTGGAAGGGTGAGAGCAGGGGGGTTGTGGGGCCTGAAGGGTGGGGAGGGGATGGGGCAGGCTCGCCAGGTGGCCGGGTGGCCGGGTGGACTCCTCCCCCGAGTCCCCTCACCTGGATGCGGGTGACCACCTCCTGGAAGGGCTGAGACTTGTCCATCCAGGTGGCCAGGAGCTCCGCCGCCCGCTCGAAGTTCTTCACGTACTCGCCGTACATTTTCAGAAATGGGGCCAGTTTCTGGATCACGTCCCCAATGCGGGGTGTGGCTGCCCTGGGTTGGGGAGCGGAGGTTCTCAGCCTGTCTCAGCTCCGGAGCCAGAGCCCCTCCAGCCCCCTCCAGCCTTTCCGGTACCCTTCGGGCAATTGAAGAGAGCCCGGCACCCCAGGGGTCTGCCTCCTCCTTAGACTCTGAGCCCCTGGTCCTCGGCTAGCCTCCCTGTGAGACCCACCAAGGCCTGGCTGGCGAGACTGCTAAGGCACAGCGCAGCTGACAGTACAGGCTGCCTGAGAGAGCTGCCCAGGAAGGCTGCCTGTCTCAGCCCTAGGTATTCTGGCTGTGTGTCAGAGGTTCTCTGGGTCCTGAAAATGATGTTGGGTGATCTTACAGGCTGCTGTCTCCCCAACACACACACACACACACACACACACACACACACACACACACACACACCTTCCTTTTGCTTGAGACAATGTAGCCCCGGCAGACCAGGAATGGCTATGTAGACCAGACTGGCTTCCACCTGACTCTCTCTCTCTCTCTTTTTAAAGTTTATTTTATTTAGTATCATTGTGTGGCCGGCAGGGGGGCGGTGGGGCAGGGTGCTTGTGAATAGCACGCTTGTGGACGTCAGAGGACAATTTTGGGAGTCAGTTCTCTTCTTTCACCGTGGGTCCCCAGCAATTAAATTTAGGTCTGCGGGCTGGTTCAACAGCGCCTCACTCTCTGAGCCATCTTGCTAGTCCTCCGTCCCCGTCTCTCTTCAGATGTACTTATTTTGTGCGCATCAGTGTTTTGCCTGCCCGTATGCACATATCCTGTGTGCGTGTGCCCGGACCCCCTCTAAGTGGAGCTACACATGGGTGTGAGTCAATGTGTAGGTGCTGGGATGGGGCTTCTTATATGACAATGACATGAACCTCACACAGCTGGCCGGGAAAACCAGCCTGGGAAAACCAGGAGCAAGGCCAGAGACCCAGTCGGTACAATGACATCCACGGCCTTGTGAGTCAGGGGGGCCTAGACTGCCCCTTCTTCCTCTGTGCAAGGGGGGAGAGGCCTGGAGGAGACGGCCCTGGCCAGAGTAAAAACGCAAGCACACGGGCTTCCCAGGCCCCGGCTCCGTGACCCCACAGCAAGCCGGCCCGGGACCTCACCAGTCACCCACGCGCCGCTGCAGCTCTGGAAGGAAGAACTGTGCGTGGAAGCGATAGATGGAGGAGATGTTGGAGAAGATGAGCCTGACCACGTCCTCGGGGAAGGCTTTGCTGCGGCCTGCCTCCCTCAGCAGCTCCTGGAAGAACACCTGTGTGGGGGAACCGGTGCCAGGTCACACCCCACCTGGGAGGGAGCCGATCCCCACCAGCCCCACAGGCCCAGGGGGACAGCACAGTTCCAGCAGAGCCAGGCCACACCCATGGGCGAGATGGCCAGGGGAATGCTTTACAGATGGGCAGACAAACCAGGCGTCCCTAGGACTTGGCCAAGGGGACAAGGGAAACAGCCTCATCTGTATCTTCCCAGGCCTTGGGCCGTTCCTTGGCTGAAGTACCGTAAGAAAGTAGAGGCATCTTGTGAGGACAACCAAAGGAGAAACCTGCCATATTTGAGGCGGCCAGAAACAAAGGCCATACGGGCTATGCTAAGGGCATCAGTTCTGGTGCTGCCTCAACTCCACCCAACAGGGTCAGTGGGTTGAATTAAATAAAGCCAAGTCCTGGGCTGGTGTCGGCACTCCTGAGATGGGGGAGCGGAGGCTGGGCACCCCCCACTGGCCTGGTCAAGCAGATGCAGACGAGCCACGTAGGCCTGCTCCGTCTCCAGAAGCTCCTGCACGACCCTCTTTTCCTCAGGTTCCTACGGGGGTTGAGGAGAAGGGCGGACATCTTGGCTCACCACTCCTCAGAAGACAACTCGGCTCTGCCCGTGAGCACACTGTCTGGTATTTCCGCCCTCCCACGACACACCAAGTCTGGCGCTGGACCCTGCTGTACTCTAGAATACAGCCTAGAATAATGGTCAGTTCCAGGGCTGAGCCTTAAGGTTTGGCAGCCTCTCTCTGGGCTTTCATGGGAGCCAGGAGCCAACGCGTCGCTGTGGGAGAGACCTGGTTGCCTGATGGGGAGCCCTCTAGGAGGCCACACCCAGAGAGAGGAAGGTCCATGGAAGAGAAGGGGCCTAGCGTCCCAGCTGAGCCATCCTCTGGCTCTTCGAGGCTAGGGGAGCATCGAAGTTCAATGAGGCCATAAGGACAGGGCCACAAACCACTGTGGTTAGTATAAGGAGGAGGGAGAGTTAGCCCTGTGGGAGCGTTCCTGTAGTCCCAACACCAGGGGGTGTAGATGTTGAAAACACTTTTAAGGCCAGCCTGGACCACATTGTAAGAGCCTGATTGAATTGAAGAGGAAGGGGAAGCGGGAGAGGAGAGAGAAAAAGAAAGAGAGAGGTAAGGCTGAAGGGTCTTTTCACCCGTCCCCTAGTCAGAGCCAGCCGTCCTGAGATTGACTCCTCACCTGAGTCTCTGGCCCTGGGCTGTCCCCAGGCTGGCAAGATTTCCTCCAATCCCCACTTGGTAGCTTATTCTTGAGCGACTTCAGGTAGGTCCTGCTGACTGGCCGAGGTCCAGACTTCAAGGCCTCCCCGACAGGAGATTCTTCCCAAGGCTGCAGGGACAGGGGCGGCTGGCATTCAGGGCTGTGGGGTCCAGGTACTGCTCCCGGGGGCCTGCTGAGAACAGATTACACTTGAGGGTCTCCTCGGGGTAACTGGCGTCAGCCGCTGGTGCTCTGGGCTCTCGGGTGCCTGGCACAGTAGAGGAATCGACAAGACAAGACTTTCACATCTCTCCTCAGCCCTCCTCCCCCCTCTTTTTCTGAGCCAGGGTCTCATGTGTCACAGGCTGGCCTTGACCCTCTTTATACAGGACCTCGGACTTCTGGCCCTCCTCCCTCTACCTCCCTAGTGCTAGGATTATCGGCATAAACCACGGTGCCTGGGTTCTGCGGTGCGGAGGACGGAACCAGGGTTTTGTGTGTGCTGAGAAAACACTACCTACCAACTGAGGTATGACCCTGGCACCACCCATACCCCCCAGGACCCTTCTGGAAGGAAACTCAATCTGTCCTCTGAATGAGTCATTATTCTCTGGGGAACTGTTTAGTTCCTTGTTTCAAGTGCAGCCGAATCTAGAGAGAGCCGCCTTTGGCACACAGAAGTTCTTCAGCCGCTCCTTCAGGGCCACCCCCACCTCCAGCTTTAGCCATGTCTTCATTTCCGTACCCCTCTTGACATACATCAAGGGAAGGTAGGGTCCACAGAGCAGTGCCAGGACAAGGACACAGGGCCTTTTCATGGGGTTAGACCTAGGCCCTTCACACCATTTCCAGGGGACAGAGTCAGCCTGGGAAGCAGAGCCCCCGTGCCCCAGGTTTGGCCCTCATAGGGCAGCTTGGCCGTGCTGCAGGCCTGAGAAACCTGCACTGGGAGAGCTATCCCTGCCAGGCATGTGCAGGGAAACAGACAAGGGTGGCAACACTGGGCAGGTACACCATGAGAAAGACAAACAGGTGCCAAGCCTCCAAAACCCAGAGAGGAAGGACATCCCTGCATTCATGCTGCAGCTGTGGAAACGGAGGCAGACAGGACGGGAGCTCAGAAACGGTACAGATGAGGAAGGTCAGGGTCCAAACCTCCCCGCTAAGCTGACTTTTCTTTCGATGTCAAGGAAAACGAGGACCCAGACAGCTGAGGTGATTGCCCAGGTCAAGGGGGCCTGACGGAGGTGGGAGGAATATCGGGACCCATTCTAGGCACAGAAACTGAGTTCCTTGGCCTCAGGGCCTGCAGCCAGGTCGGGGTAGGCTGAAGCGGTGGAAGAGGTGGTGGGTGGAATGTGCTGAGTCTCACGTTTTCTCTTCTACATTCGGTTCCAGCTTCTGCATTTCTAAGCGCGCAGGTCTGTGGCTGTTTCCTCCTCGGCGCTCAGTTTCGGGTCAGCTAGGTGCCCAGGGCCCCACGGAAGCCTGCACGGTACCCTCCTCACTCCATAGGCCGGCCCTTATGGCCTGCTCCTGTCCGGGGTTACCCCACCTGTGAGGTGTGGGCTGACACAGCTCAGTGGCCCAAGTGCTGGCACCCATGTGGGCCCTAGCCGTCCTCCAGCACTCTGGGTCTGGTGGTCCACATCGGGGTGGTGGCCAAGAGCTGTCCCCGGTGCTGAATAGGATGAGCGTTAGTGGAGCCCCTGGGGAGGAAGGGTCGGGCTGCTCAGCGCTGGAAGTGAAACTACTGCTGGGGTGAATGTAGGACTCCACCTGGAGGCCACAGGCACCTCCCTTGGCCTGAAGGTCCCCAACCCTGCATGGAGGCCTTTCAGGGCGTGCAGAGCCTTGCAATGTGGAAGGACAGAGCTTCGTGTCATAAGGTGTCTCTAGGCACGGCACCGTCTTCTCCTGGCTCCCTAGGGCTGGGAACACTGGTGGCTGAGGGTTACCTATTGGCAGAGTCCCTCTCTGGGAACTTCACTCCAGAGAAGAGAGCTGCTGCCTCGCCTAGTGTCTAGCAACGGAGGCCTGGGTGCTAGCCAGCATCGCTGGTGCTCCCTAGCCCAAACCAGGGCTCAGCCTCTCCCTCCACCTGTCTCCCTCCTTCCTCCATCTTTCAGGTTCTATTCCTCACGGCCTCAGTCTCCTGAGGGTGTGCCTCCAGAGACACCCCCAAACCACAGGCCTGCAAAGCAGCTTCATGTTTCACACCCACACCCCTCCCGGACCACCCAAGAGCACCTTCCACACCTGGCTTCATCTTTCCCCTTCAGACGCAAGCCTCCAAACAGCCCCAAAGCTCAGAAACTTAAAGAACCCGGCCCCCGTGCCTCCTCTTTCGTCGTTAAAGATGGGAAGAGAACAGGACACACCCTAGGGCTATGAGGGCAAGACCTCAGGTATGGAGGGGCCGTGGTGAGCCTGCCTTGCCACATTTAGCCCCCTTCCGTCTGTGTCCTGCCCTCTTGCTCCCATTTAACTGTGTCCTAGTTTGAGTGGGATGTGTGTGTGTGTTTTGGGGTGTGTGCGCGTCTCCCATTGCATGCCAGTCAGCCGTGATGGAGGGACCCGGGTGCTGCCTAGACAGGAGCCCCTAACCCGGGGCAGAACCCCTCCCCCACCACCTGTACCTGCCGGGCTCAAACACAGCCACCAGGTTGCACACGGAGCTCTGCTTCTCCTCACTGGCTTGCTCCATCCTGCCAGCCCGCGGGGTTGTGGGGTCTTCAGCTTCCCCAGAAGCAGGGAGAGAGGCCACCAGCCTGTGCACTCAGCACTCCCTGGCCTCGGGGTGAGGCAGCCTGGAATCTGCCCCCATCTCTTCTGACTGCCCTTTAGGGCAGTTCCTATCTTCAGAGTGAAAAAAAAAGAGGAAGTGGTACCAGGGACCCGGAGGAGAGGCCGGCTGTCCCTACTGTGGGAGGAGCCTGGAGAGTTCTGCCCTGCCCTCTTGGCCTCTGACCTTTACCTCCTGGAGAGGTCTACCTGCTCCTACCCTATGAGAGAAGGCACCAGTAGTGGCAACCGGGGCCATAGGACCCTTCTGGAGCTGGAGCCCGGACTAGCCACTCCACTAAACACCCAGTCTGTACGAGGGTCGGGGATTTTTTTTTTTTTTTTTTTAAACTTGGTACCAATCTCAGCGTCTTTCCTGTGTCTGGCTCTGTTCACAGCTCTAAGAAAGCAGCTTCTAAGTTAAAAATGGCTCACAGGTGGGGCTGGGGAGATGGCTCAGCTGCTAAAGGGTTCTCTGCTCTTCCAGGGGCCCTGAGTTCCATTCCCAGCAACCTCATGGTGCTCTCACAACCATCTAGAATGAGATCTGGTGCCCTCTTCTGGCATGCAGGCACACATGCAGATAGAGCACTCACACGAAAAACAGATAAATAAAACCTTTTTTTTTTTTTTTTTTTTAATGGGCTCACAGGGCTTCGAATGTAGCTGGGTTGGTAGAGTGCTTGCCTGGCATCCAGGAAACCCTGGGTTCTATCTGCAGAACTGGGTCTTGGCACCCACTTGGGAGGTGGAGGTCAGAGGAACAAAATCCAACGTCTCCCTTGACTATATAATGAGTGTGAGACCCGCCTGGCCTACAAGAGACCCTGTCTCAAAACCCCGGGGTGGGAAGGCACTGGGATGGCTCAGCAGGTAAGAGTTCTTGTAGCCTGAGTCCAGTCCTGGAGCCCCTCCTGGTGGAAGGAGAGAATAAGCTTTCTTTCTCTGTGTTTATCTTTACGGGCCTTGCCTTCGTGTGAGTGTATGCACACCACAGGCATGCCTGGTGACCTCACAGGTCACAAGAGGGTGTTGGAGTCTCTGGAACGACAGTTAGGGGTGGCTATGAGCTGCCTTGTGGGTTCCTGGGAACCAAACCTAGGTCCTCTGCAAGAGCAACAAGCGCTCTTAACCCCTGAATCATCTTCTCCAGCCAAGAACAGACTCTGTCAAGTTGCCTCTGGATCTGACTCACACACACTGTGTCCATTGTGAACTCCCCTAAAAAAATTGCAAATAAAATAAAATAAAATCACAAACTGGGCGCTAGGGATGCCCACCATTAGTCCCAGCACTTGGGAGGCAGAGGCAGGCAGATCTCCGGGTTCAAGGCCAGCCTGGTCTACAGAGTGAATTCTAGGGCAGCCAAGGCTACCCAGAGAGAGCCTGTCTGGAAAACAAACAAACAAACAAACAACCTAAAACAAACCACAGACTGTGAGGAGATGCAGGAGGGGCCCTTTGGTCCCCAACACCTCTCTGGGGGCTCTTGTCTTCATGGTGTTGATGACACCCTGGCGCCCCAGGTGGGAGCAGCTGAAGATAATGGCATCGTGCCACCAGCTAAGGAGTCTCTTCATAGTTACTCACAAAGCTGTGTTATGCAGTGTGCTCTATGACCAGCTCAGAGAAACGGAGGCTCAGAGAGGCCAGGACACCTGCCTGAGGTCACTCTGGCAGAGATGTGGGGGACGGGGAGGATGACCTTTGTGTACGCCTGATAACGAACCCTAGGGAAATCTCTGCCTGCCGAATCCGGAGCCTCTTGTCACTCAGTTCTTCTGGGTCATGTGACCAGCGCCTCTGTTCTGCTCATTCAAGCTGGAAAGCCATTCATCCATCACTGCCCCGTGGGTCCCCAGCCAGGACCCTCCACTGAAGCTAGTCTTTGTCCTAGGATCAAGTGTGAGTCATCCCGGAGCCCAGAGCGCCTGGCACAGTTCATGCTGTGGCAGCTGCGGGCCTGGAGCCTCCTGCCTGGCAACCTTGTTCCCCCAAGCTTCCCTCAGCTGAGTTTCCCACCGGAGGCCAGCCCAGTCCTGAGGCCTGAATGTCACTAATCCCAAACGCAGGTCCTCTGCAAGGGCAGCAAGTGCTCCCAACCACTGAGCCATCTCTGCAGCCCTCGAAATGCCAGTTTTATGCAGGCCTGAGGAGGCGGGGCTGGCGCTCTGCTGAACGTGCACTGGCCTCAGCCCCACTTGTACTTTTTGTCATAAAAAAAAACTTAGAACGTGGGCTGGAGACATGGCTCAGAGGTTAAGAGCACTGGCTGCTCTTCCAAAGGTCCTGAGTTCAATTCCCAGCAACCACAAGGTGGCTCACAATTATCTATAAGTGAGATCTGGTGCCCTCTTCTGGCCTGCAGGCAGAATACTGTATAGTTAATTAATTATAGAACAATATTGCCACTGCCGAATTCCAGGAGGTTTGGCAAGTTTCAAGGTCCTTGGCTAAATGGCCAGCCTGGGCTATGTGAGATCCTATTTTCAAAAAGAAAGCAGGCTCAAGTCCGTTCCTGGTCCAAGGCGATGGATGCCCCACCTTCCTCCTGGCTCACTCTCTTCTCTTCCTGTGGCTGGTGAGGACACAGGCTGCTACCTCATGGGTCCCTCCACGGGCAATGCCATACCTTGGGGTATTTCTGTCACAGGTCAACCAGAGTCTGGGGCACTTCATCCTTAAGGGTACTCCTGGTCTTGAGGAAAATCCTCTTTGTTAGGGTTCATCCTCTGCCTCAGCAGTGTGTGCCAGGGGCTGGGCACTGAAGTTCCGAGCCCCTCACCACATAGTCCTGTCCCTTTCCCGCCACTCCCAGAACCTGTGGCATAGAATGAGCTGATATCACCCCGGAAGCCCAGAAAGACCATCTGTCAGGGCCTTGAGCTTCCAGGGGAGGCACCCGCTTGACCTGTACAAGGCCTAGGATGGCACAGGGTGTGTCTTGTAGACCCCTCTTCAGCCCTGATCCCGCTGTCAACCCCAAACGGTCACAGGGCACCTGCAAAATGACAGACAAGCCAGTGAGGAGGCTGACACCTACAGCCGGCCCTGTGGTTTCAGCACTGTTGTGGCCCTCCTGCTCTTTGGCAGGCCCTGGGGGCGGATGGCGGTGGGTGATGCCGCCTGGTTGGTTGCAGGCAGAGGGCCACTCATGACCACTGCTAGTGCGCAGGTGGGTGCCCAGGAAACCAGGCCCAGGCTGTACAGGGAGGAAGAGGGGAGGGGAAAACACCAGCCTATCCAGTAAGTCTGACTGCTGCTCACCCTGCCCACCCCTCCCCGACATGGCCAGGACATTTTTCTACTTGTCTCCCCACCAGGAGCGCCACCATTGGCTCAGGCTTTTTCCTGAGGAAGGGCTTGCAGCTGGTGTCCCCTCGGCAGGCACAAAGGTCCCTCTGCCTCCACGATGTTGCCTTTCCCAGGAACTTGCCCATGCCTGGTCAGTCACACATCCCTGTGAGGACAATGAGGGGGAAAGCCCTGGGGCCGGGGTTTGGTGATGAGTGACCTAAAACTATGTGGGCAGGCTTGACACGGCTGGCCGCCTGCAGCTCGTCAGTGGGCCGCATAAACGCCTTTTATTCTCCCGTGTGTCAACTATACGGTTCCAAAGCCAAGAGAGTTGGCTGGGACCTGGCAAAGCTGGTGCCAGGTCCTCAGGAAGAGCTCAAGGTCATGAGAGGTGGCTTCCTGGCTGGCTGGGGGCCAGGAGAGGCGGCCTGGGCCTGGGGATCAAGCAGCCGGCCAGCCTGACAAGAGACACTGCGGAGCTGGCAGGTCTGCCTGAGAGCCGGCTAGAAGCGGGGGAAGTAGGGAGCATTGTTTTTCTAAGGGAGGAGCGGGGCCTGGGAAGGCAGAGCCGGAAGGGATCTCAGGGGAGGGGCCAGACATTGCCTGAGAAGGTCCCCGAGCCCCACACGGGGCCAGCACGTGGGTCGGCCAGCCTACCTCGGGCTTCTGACTGTTTTAGCCTTAGCAGCTCAAGAAGAAACCCAAACGGCTTGGGGAGGAGTGGCTGGGCTTCCAAGCGAAGGAAGGACAGCTTGTTCCTGCCTGTCCGTCCACCCGGCCCACAGCCGATTTCTCTCCCAGATATCCAGCCGCCAGCCACCCCCTCACCCCCACTTCCCAGGATGCCCCTCCTCGGGCTTCGCACGCAATCGGAAGCAGAGTCCTCCCTCAGCCCGGCCATGTCATCCTTTTCACCTTACTAAGGCCTGTGTCAGGGCCTTCAGGGAGAGAGAGCTGCTACATAAGCAAGCCCACGAGAGACAGCAGAAGCCCTTTCTGGAGGCGAGCACAGCGCAGGGATGCAGCGCCTGCCCAGCCTGTGGGGGGCCCTGGGCCCCATCAGAACTAGGGATTTGGCAAACCGACAGCAGGACACCCACCCGTGGCTTTAGTCCACACAAAACCCCGAGAGGGCGGACATAGCTCACATCTCCCTGTCCCCAGAGGCTGGCTAAGAGCCTGCCAACCAGCATTCCTGGCACGGAACTCCCCCAGAAGGGGGCAGAAAGGACCGTTCTCTCTCTTCCACCTCCTACCTCCAACCTGAGGATGGGCTGGGCAGTCAGAAATACAGAAGTGACCGGTTAACCCAGATACCAAGGACAGCACCAGTCCCCATACCAGCACGGTCTCCAGCCCGGGGTCAAGGCTGGCTCCTGGGCAGAACCACCAGGAGCTCCACACTCTGGACGGTAGCCTGAGCTTATTTGTTCTTCCTGGCCTCGTTCTGTGAGACAGGGCCTCACGTCTGTCCCTAAGTCTGTCCCAAGCTCGCTACGCACCCAGAGGTGACCGCCTCCACTTGACGTGCGCTGGGATTGGAGGCGTGTGTCAGCTCACCTCTCTGCCAGGGGAGCACTCTGTTCTGCGCTGCATTCCCGGCCCTCCTTGTTTCTGAGACACAGCCCTGCTCTGTAGCCAAGGCTGCCCTGGAATCCATGTAACCTAAACCGGTCCTGAGCTCCTCCCGAGAAGCCAGCAAATAAAAAGGTTTTGTTTTTGTTTTGAGTCTCCCTGACCGGCCAGAGCATTCCATGTTGACCAGGTTGGCCTCAAACCCCGTTTCTTCCACTTCTCAAGTGCTGAGGTTAAAGACATACGCCCATCCCTGACTCAAAGCTCCTCGGTGTGTGTGCGTGTGTGGTTTAGACAGGTTTTTTCTGTGTAGCTCCGCCTGTCCTGCTGTGTAG